TACATTACAAGGTTGTTTGTTGGAAGAATATGGGATGGCCCTGTGGTTTGGGTTCTCTCATTTTTGGTGTTTTCTTGGTGGCTTTCAGACATAACATACACGAAAGAAGAGGAAAAATTCTTCCCAAGAACATTCCATAGTCTGATCTTGATTTAAAAATAGTTCTCAGCATAATAGAAAAAATATTTATGGAAAATAACATAACGTATTTATTATAGGGCAAGTTCCACGTTCAATATTCAAAAGAGTTAGGCGTATTACTCTAAGAACAGAGCGAAAGATGAGCCAAAGGAAGACTCCTGGCTAAAGCAACTCCTTGAGGTGGGCCCATGGCCTTCCCTGGGGAGGTTCCCCTGGTCCCTGCAGATGGAGGGAGAGAGACAAAGGCAGAGAGTAGCTGGTGCGGAGAGGACAGGCAGAGATGGCTGCTTTCCCTTCCCCCAATTGCAGCCAGCAAGAGTGATCAGCTGATGAGTCTTTCTACTTAAATGTTGACCTTCTGTGGCAGCAGCGAAGCATATGTCACTCTCTACTGTGAGAGCATGGCTGGAGTCAGAGGGAGTTACCTGGAGCTTCATTGCTGCCATGGACTCTGCTTCCATCTGGGACCTGAGCACTTATAATGGCCCATGAGGCTGCCCCGGCTGCCCCAGAGGTTTTCTCAGAGAAAGAAGGGAGAAAGAGGAGAGGGAGAGAGGCGAGGTGGGTCACTTAGGGAAAATTACTTAGGGAAAACATATACCTTGATTTTCTTTTTAAAGTGGAATGTGAACTAATTACACCATGGGTCGTGGGAAATGAGTGAATGAACATAATTGTTATAATTCGTTTATAGATGTAAAAGTGGCTTCAGACCTACAGAGAGGCTTGTGAGATTTGCTGAGGAGAACCATTCCTGGCCAGGTCCTGCGTCCTTAAAGCTGCGAGGCAGGCTGGTGGACTGGATGGCATATAGCTTAATTACTCAGGGATGACAACTTGTTTACATACAAACGCCTCCATCTGCATTGATAAATTGCTTCAACAACAATTCATCTGATATGTGCTCTTTGGTTCTACTTTTTCCTAGTGTCCTTTTTTCTCTTATGAAAAAGCAGCCTAGGAAAAAGCAGCCTAGGCTGAGAGGAGTGAATGGGTCTAGGGCCAGGTTGCTGGGCCGCCCATGTCCCGGGCACAGCACTTGGAGGCTGGCTTTCCTTGAGGGCCCGTGAGCCTGCAGGAGCAGGGAGGGAGAAACACAGAGGGAGGAGGCACTGTATGAACTGGACAGTGCTCATTACTTAACTGACGACACCTGCTGAGCTCAGGCACTGAGCCAGGCCTGGGCATACAGATGGAGAACAAGACAGGCCAAGTTCCTGCTTTCATGGGGCTTACTTTCCAGGGGGGAGACAGACAATATGGAAATAAACGAATACAAGTATAATGCATGGTGAGAGAGTGTTACATAACATGGAGAAAGATGCAGTGGAGTGGTGGGGTAGAAAGTGACGGGGATGGAGATGACTGTTTTATGTCAGGGTCAGGAAGCCCTCTCTGAGGACTGCGTCTGCGCAGAGACCTGAGTGAAGCGTGGGAACCGTGGCCCTGTCTGGGAAGAGCATTCCAGGCAGAGAGCGCAGTGAGTGCGGAGGCTGGAGGCAGGCACAGCATGAGGGCTGGTCCAGCTAGAGTGGAGTGAGCAGGGACAACGGGATGGGAGTGCAGATGAGTGAAGCGTGGGAACCGTGGCCCTGTCTGGGAAGAGCATTCCAGGCAGAGAGCGCAGTGGGTGCGGAGGCAGTGGGTGCGGAGGCTGGAGGCAGGCACAGCATGAGGGCTGGTCCAGCTAGAGTGGAGTGAGCAGGGACAACGGGATGGGAGTGCAGGGGGAAGATGGGCCACATCTTTTTGGCCTTTCTCCTTTTTGTAATGAGCATTTACTCTAAAGGAGTTGAGTTTGATTCCACTTTTTTGTAATGAGCATTTACTCTAAAGGAGTTGAGTTTGATTCCACTTGTGTTTCATTATTAAAACTGTAAATACCTGGTTCTAAGTCTGATGAGAGTACATTGAGCCGCACGACACAGCCTGATTCATGTGTTTAAAATAACCCTCTAAATTATGATTGAAGTTAAGACTGTCCTGAGAAAGGCAGCAGAGGGACACGTTACACAGCTCATCAGCCGTGCTGGTGAGCGATGGCAAGGCTCAGACACGGGGAGTTTGGGGTGGAGAGAAGGGGTCAGATTTAGGATAGATTTTACAGGTAATGCTGGCGGGCATCTACCTCCCTTTCCTCTCCTTCTTGAGCCCAGGCAGCAAGGGCCTCCTCCCTTTGGTAAATGGAGCCCCGGGGGAAAGAGGCCCTACTGCTCTGCCTGTCTCATCCTGTTCTGGGGCACCTGGACTGACAGGAGGAAGGTGTGGGAGGCAAGGCCTGGCTTGCCTAGTCCCTGGGCCTGAGCACTTTATGGTTTACAAAGCATTTGTGTATTTCATGCTTGCCACCAGCCCTGTAAACTAGGTAAGGCAGGTACTGTTATGTCTGTGTTATAGGTGAGGAGATCTGAGCTCCTTGCTGTGAGAACTATGAGGAGGTTATAGAGACAGGGAGAGCACTCTGAGGTCATTGGGAATGAAGAACACTGTGATTTCTGCTCTAGAGAGGACTGCATGAGGCCTGTGCAAAGGAGCCGAGCTAAGTTTTAGTGGTCGGGTTGTTGTTGACATTTTCCCTCTTCTAAATTTTCTCTTGACATAATGTTTATGTAATTTATTTATTTTTTTTTAAATTTATTTTTTAATTTTTATTGAATCAAAATTGATTATATATATTTTTGGGGTCCAATATTGGAATATGTTAATCAAATCAATATTACTAGCATATATATTGTTACAAATCGTAATTATTCTTTATGCCCCTTATCCAATCTCTTCCCATCCCCCCTCCCTCCCCCTCCCCCTCTAATTACCCTAGATTTCTTTTCTCTTTCTGAAAGAATATTGGTTACTCTGTTGATTTGTTGCCTAGATGATATGTCCAAATCTGAGAGGTGTGATCACATCCCCCATTATTATTATAGAGCAGATGTTGCTTCTGTCACTCTGAAATGGGCTTTGTGGAGAGAGACATCCTCTTCTTTTGTCTCTGCTGGTGACTCTCCTTGTGTCAGTGCACTCCACTGGCTGGTGGACCATCTGCATGGTTGTTGTGGCATCTAGCCACTTTCACGGCAGCCATGGTCATTGTGGTATCTGTGGTTGTCCATCCACATGGAGGTGATGTTTTCGGCATGCTCCTTGGTGCTAGCAATGTGCCAGGTTGTGGGAGGGGGGTCTGTTTCCCGGCTCTAACCCTCCAGTTCCCGGAAGGGCCCTGAGGTGCTGGTGCGGTGTGCCTGGTTGTGGGAGGGGTGTCCAATCCCTGGCTGTAATCCTCGGGTACCTTGGTGGGCACTGAGGCACTGGCATGGTGTGCCTGGTTGTGGGAGGGGGGCTCAGTACCCTTCTCCATGCGTTGGGTCCCTGGGCAGACCTCAGGCACTGTCGCAGTGTGCGTGGTTGTGGGAGGGGGATCTGGTCCCTTTCTTTATGCCTCAGGTTCCCAGGCAGGCCCTGCGGTGCTGGCATGGTGTGCATGGTTGTGGGAGGGGGAATCTGTTTGTCCATGCCTTGGGTCCCTGGGTGGGCCCCGTGGTGCTGGCATGGTGTGCCTGGTTGTGGGGGGTGTCTGGTCCTCGGCTCTATATCCCGGGCCCCCACATGAGGCCCTGTGGCATGTTGCTGGTGTGAGTGGTTATGGGTGGGGTTCTGGTCCCTGGCTCCATGCCTTATGTCCCCTGGCATACTCCAAGGTACTGGTGGTGTGCCTGGGCTGGAACTAATTTTTTGTCCTTTGCTTCCTTCTAAAATGGGGAAACCTCCTGTGGGAACAAGTACTTGAGCTGTGTTGAACTAAATTGCTGCTTTGCTGCTGTTTCCCTAGGGAAGGCTTTCTGTGCAGCTCAGGGTTTAATGGTTGACCTTATAAGGACTTCCCACTCTCAGAAGAGTTGGTGCAGCTGGGTTGTGTAGAAACTCTGATCGGGGCTTGAATTTTTTTATGAAACCGCACCCTATGCAATTCTATATTCCTGACTAGTCTCCTGTGAGTGGTCCTATGTTGATTGGGGGGTGTGCTGGCTGTCCTTGCTGTGACCCAGTGTTTTCCTGGTGGCCCTGTCTCCCCCACTGCCCGTGCTCCAAACACTTCCCCTGGGGTGGGCCCTGTGCTGGTCCCTTGGGATGAGTCACCAGCCTCTGAATGGTTCCCCTTTTTCAGCTGTTCTGGCTCCTTGCTGCTATGTGGGTCCACAGGAACCCTGTTAGTGATCTTGTTGTCCTGGGGGTCAGCAAGGCCCTCTTCTCCCCTGCCACCTCCGAGTAACTCCATCTGAAGGGTACAGCTGTGGCCTCTGCTGGCTCCTTCTCCATGCACTCGGCAGCTCCAGCCTTAAAGTGGCTACAGCCCAAAATGCTCATATAAGTTTTTTCGATCTCTCATTGTGGCTTCTCCTGCCTTCACGAACTCTGTAGGTCTCTCTTCCTCTTGCCTTGAGCTCCAGTGGCCCCAGCATGGGTGATGTTACATTTTTATAGTTGTAAATTGGTTGATTTGCAGGAGAAATTGACGCTGAGGACCTTCTATTCTGCCATCTTGACTGGAACTCCTTGTTTATGTAATTTAAAAAGAAGTAAAGCATTCCAATTCCATGGAATTAGTCCAAAAAGTAATTGAATTACTGAAACTATTTGGAAAAAGCATCTTTGATATCCTACTCAGAGCTGGCTGCTGCTTCAGTGTAGACGCCTTACCATGTTGGCAGTGGGTTTGTCGCTGAGTTAAGAAAACGCTTTGTCTATTGGCATCATTTCTATCCATCCTTTGAATCAGGGTTGTCTTTACATGGAGTGGGTGCCTGGTGAAGTTTTTCCTAACTTCTGACATAGCCTAATGAATTTCCAAACATTCTTTACAGCCTAGATCATTCTCAGCCTCCCGGTGGCCTTGTCATCACCCAAGAATCTGAAGTTTACAAGATGCTTCAGGAGAAACAGGAGTTGAATGAGCCTCCAAAACAGTCCACGTCATTCCTGGTTTTGCAGGAAATCCTGGAGTCTGAGGAAAAAGGTAATCATCCCTACCTGTGGTCAGAGGTTCTTGTTGAAGGTCTGGAGTGGGTGTTAGGCATTGCTGAAACACAGGTGAACACAGCCTAGACAAAGTGGAAAGAGCTCAGTGTGCTTCGAAAGGCACGGGCTTCTAAAAGGTTAAAACTCATAATAAAAACAGAGATGGAGAGCATGCCCTCCTGACCACACCTTCCTGCCTGGGTCTTTATTTAAGATCCTCCATACCTGGCTGACTGTTCCTGTCACATGTGCATATGGTCAGAGTGAGCTGGACTGTTGTGGGATTCTGTTGGTTTTTACCTTGGTAATTTTTTTGGTTTCAGCCCCCATACCATGCTCCTGTGGTGGGACAAATAAGAGTGGTAAAGGCCATGGGTGGTGACAAGCAGAATGAAAACTTCCCTTTGGGGCCACATGTTTGTTCTTGCTCTAGGATGGATGGCCTTTGAGGGTCCAAGAGCCCCCATTGTGGCCCCATCCTCATTCTGTGACATTAGGTAAATCTCTGAACCTTTCCATGCCTGTTTTATCATTTGTCCATTGAAGATAATAATTCTTTTCTCTAAGACCATTGTGCAGATTAAATGTCATAATTTGTGCAAAACACCCATCAACACGAGTGGCACATAGTAGGTGCTTCTTAATTAGGAAATAATTTTGATGTTAGAAACCTCATCCAGAGGCTCCCAGCTCAGCCTTAGCACGTCCGTGGGAGGAGCTCTGACGTCCGAGGCACTCAGGGCCACCGCAAGTGGTTCTACACATCTCAGGAGACAGTTCTTCTCATTGTAGACATCATATACCATATATCTATTATGATAATGTTCAAGTGGACAGCAGTGACGGTATCTCATTTAATAACAACAGTGCGTTATGTAATTGGTGACAGGTGGATGTGTTGAGGAAGGGATGTTTTTTCCTCCTTTTCATAAAGGTGGCCTGTGAATCAGCAGCTCACAGGCTCCCCTGCCTCCCAGGGTGTTGTGGATCAGCGTGTCCTGCGACTCTCCTGATCACCTTTTTCTGGAGGGTTGGGTTTTTCACCCTTTATTCATCCCTATGTGCCCAGCCCTCCCCACTCTGTCTGTCCCCTTCACTGAGGCTCAGGCACCTCACTGGAGTCCTGCCTTCTACTGCTCTCTCTTCCTCTTCCCAGTGCACCCACCTGAGAGGAGAGAGTTGGTGCTCCTGGGGCACCCATGAGATTCTCAAAGTGAGACCTGCTTCACCATCAGGGGGCAGCTAGGGAGGGTCAGAGCTGAATGCCCTCTGGAAGAGTGACCTCCATCCTCAATACCATCAGCTGGAAATTTGGCTTCCTGGGAGTCCTTCCTGAGTTGAAGTTCTCTTCAGAAAACTCCCAACACCTGGGCTTCCTCTCCATGTGCGGGTTCCTTAGCAAGAGTGGTGTAGGAGGGTATGTCAAAATGTTCATGGAGAGATTCATGTTAGCTTTTAACTGTATTTTTCCATGAATTTTTGAAGTACCCTCGTATACACATGTAGGAGCATAGGGGAAAAAGTGCTTCTTTTATACTAGAGATATGGTTCTACAAGCAACGCCCCCCTTTGCTTGGAGCACCTCAGTGGTTGGGAAGTAATGAGCCATACTTTGTATTAAATTCCAGTATTAGACCTGACTGACAAATGACCTGGGGGCCAATCCTTGAGGATGACAGCTTTGTCAAACATTTAAGAAACCACTACTTATTTTACTCTAAGTGGGTGTGAAATCCTTCAATTAAGAGAGGCCAAGTCAGTCCATCCCAGCCCCAACCAGCACACGGACAGATGCTGCACAGCTCACCTGGGCTCACAGAGAAGGACCTGAGCATGGAGTTGGCAGCTCCATGCTCATCAAGATCTGGACTCTTTATCCTGTGTTCTGTCAGCCACACCTGTGACTTCCATTCTCAAAGCTGCCTCGTGGTCCTAGTTGCCAGCTGGTTCTCCAGCCATTATGCCCACTTGTAGGCACCTGGGAGGAGAAAGGGGGACAAAGCTATCTGGGGAGCCCCCCTTTCAGATGAGCCCACTTTCTCCTTCCCAGAAGTCCCACACTACTATTCCACTTATGTTTTATTGACTAGAATTTAGTCACATGGCCACACCTAGTTGCCCAAGAGTCTGGGAATTATAATTTTTTACCCACTAGGCTGGATGCCTTCTTGCCCCAAAGAAAATCAAGGTTTTGCTTAAAAGGAAGATGGAGATAATAGATCTTGTAGTCTCTCCCATATCTTAAATTTTCACTGAATGCAACTGGTGTATTCCAATCCAAATATCCATCATATGCCTCTGGGGAGGGAACACAAATTAAATGCCTGGGTCTGATTCAGTGGTCCATTTGTCCATCACTGTACCATTGTCACACAGTTTTAATGACTAAACTTTATTACATATTTTGATTTCTGGAATGGTGAGTCCTTCCTTATTCTTTTTCAAAATTGTCATGGTTATTGTAGGAACAGCTTGTCAACTTCTGAGTGAATTGTCTTAAAATTGGTTTAACCTGATATTGATATTTATACATCTGATTTCTTTGTACTAGTGGTAAATATTTTTCCATTCCTTTCAACTTCTTCATGTCATATGTCTTAGTTTTTCTCTTAAATAGAGTATACAGGAATCTTTTTTTTCTTAAATCCATTCTCCAAAAATGATTGTGTATTTAATAATTTCTCGTTGTGATTAAATCAGTATTTGTCCTTTCATGATGGCTTATTTCACTTAGCTTGATGTCCTTGTGTGAGGAGGGGGTTAAAGTATAATGCCTTCCAAATTGAGAAAGCACTTGGAGACTGAAGAAGGCAGTGGGAAGGTACTTTTGGTAATCAGAGATATTTAAGTATTTATTAATCGGATGACTTACAGACAGGAAAGCAGGATGCAGTGAAGAATCAGACGTTAGATGAGAGCTCTGATTCTCTGAGGTTAGCCATTTTTTATATAGCATATCCCCTGTTACTAAGAAAAACTTTCAGGAAACATCTTAAGAAAAATAAGATAATAACATCATTCACCAAGTACCTTGTGATCAATAAGGGGAGGTGTCTTGTGATGTCTATGCTCTGACCACTGACACCACCTGCTGTAATAAATTACCCCCGAAACCTGTGTTCTATTTACACTTGTTCTAATGTTAAGGTGTCCCTGCTCAGTGAAACAAAGGAATGAGTTTAAGCGGGAGTCAACATGCAAGCGGGGCATAAACTGGCATTGGTTCTATTTTTCCTCTAACAGTCCTCAAGTTTCATCCACATTGTAGCATTTGTCAGAATTTCCTTCCTTTTTCAGGCTGAATAATATTCCATTGCATGCATAAACCACATTTTGTTTGTCCATTCATCTTCTTATAGAAGGAGACATTAATGAGTGGAGATTTGGTCGGAGTCTCGCGGACTGAGAACACACAGTGGTGGCCAGCTTCTCTGAGATGAGAAAGCTGGAGACTGCTCAGCAAGTCTCGAGGTTCATTTTGGCTGGTGCCCAGGGTTCCAGGAGGAATCTTGGATGGTCTGGAATCTGGTCAAGGGGGACCACTGCGTGCTAGGTTAAAGATCATGAGCTTGATTTTGTAGGCAATGTGGAGCCATGGAAGGTTGTTGAGCAGTGAGGCAGAAAGAAAGACAGCTATGATTTATTTCGCTCATTTTCACTTTTTTCCAGAAATATTTGGGAAGAAGAGAAATTTGGAAATTTTTGTAGTTTCCTGGAGTCCAAAGGAAGTTAGTATTTTTACTATAAGCTAGTTGAGAAGGAAGAAGAGAGATTTCTTGGAATTTAGTGTTGGCTGGATAGATAAGAGAAAAAACCCCACGCCAGCAGGTGGCGCTGCAGGGCTGAACTAAAAGCAGTGAGCTCTGTGGTATCCAGCAGGCAGCTGCCTCTGGCCCAGCTGTGCCCAGTTCTGATTCACATCCCTTCATTCCAGAGAGGGAAGTGGATTCTCCTACTAAGAGGGGATTTCATGTCCCTCCTCACCTTCTCTCATTCTAACCTCTTGCACCCGTCCCCCTTCCTGGTGATTTTTCTGCTGAGCGGGTTATGTGAAAAAGAGCCCATCACGTAGGATAGCCTGACCTCATGAGCTGGTTCTGTAGTGCAGTCAGTTTGCTTTCCAAGCTGTGATGATGCTGCCACTTCCTTCTTGTCATAGCAGGTAGGCAGCTGAGGCGGCTCCAGCACCATCGGCCAAAAAACGGAGGAGGCTGTTTGGGATGCTTGAGGCATGACACTTGGAGAAGCTGCCCACCCAGGCTCTTCTAAGAATCTCTAGGCAGGGCCTGGACTAGGGTGAGGTGAATGAGGCATTTACTGTGGGTGCAAATTTAAGGAGTCACCAAAAAACTCAATAATCAAGACTAAAATGACATTTTAATGCAATCTTTTTTTAAAATTAAAATTAGTAAAAAAATCTATGATGAACAAAATTGGGACTGTGGTCTCCTCCCAGAGGAATGGAGGAAGGCTTGGGAAGGGAAGGAAGGTATTTTGGGCTCAGGGATAACGGAAGCACCAAGGTGATTTCCCTGCTGTGTTTCCTGGTGGGGCAGAACTGAGCTTTCCCCAAGCCCACCTGTGAGCCCACAGTTGAAGACAGTGGAAACCCTGGGGCCTCCTGATGTCTTCCCCATCTCCTGCTGCCCCCCCCCCCCCTCTGTTCATCAGTTCCCAGTGAACGAGGGTCCCAGTGCTGGTGGGGGTGCTGAGAGACTGGACCATAGACATCCATTGAAGGGATGCTTTCAAATATTCCCCTAAGGCAGCAAAGTACCCCATATTCACTCTCACATTGTATTAGTCAGCAGCAGGTGACTTGTGTGACATATGGGCTGCTGGTCAGCTGTGACTTGGCTGGGCCTGGTACCATAAGTCTTTTCATTCCAGGAGCCCAACGAAGGGAGAAGCACTCTCTGCGACCTGGTGTTTTTGTGGCAGAGGGCAGAAGCTCCATGGAGACAGGGCCACACTACACAAGTGCCCTTAGTGTTTTTGCCCAGACGAGGCTTGAATCTGCTCAGATTCCACCGGACAAAGCCCATGGATGGGAAAGTTTACTCCACTGAGAGCGGGACTCCTCGTCTGTGGTGCTATTGATATTTTGAAGCATATAAGTCCCCGTTGTGGGACTGCCCTGTACACTTTGGGATGTTAAGCAGCATCCCTGGCCTCTACCTACTAGATGCTAGTTGCACTCCCCTCCAATTGTGACAACCACAACTGTTCTCTGGGAGTCAAAGACACCACGGTAGAGGAGCACTGACCAGAGAGAAGCATAGGAAAGGTGGGGAGGGACAGCTGTGGGCAAAATACACAGTCGACCATACCAGCCGGCGGCATTCTAAATGCCCCTTGTTTGAACACGCGTCTCAATTTTTGGTTCAGAGGCACCGGTGAGTATAGGGGACTCATTGTCTAGAAGGACAAGAGAGGATTGCCCAGCATGGCTGCAGTTATGGGATGCCCTCTCCTTACCCCCTTGCCTTACCCAGGAAGCTGTTTCTTTGCTTTTGTCCAGTGGCTCTTGGTCCACCGGTTTCTGGACCAGCAACACCCAGGAACTTGCTAGAAATGTAAGTTCTTAGGGCTCATCCTGGGCCTCTGAATCAGAAACTCGGGGAGTGGGGTCCAGTGATCTATGGTTTAACAAGCCTTCCAGGTGACTTTGATGCACAATTAAGTTTGAGAACAGCTACTTTAGTCTAAAGAAGTGGGTTTCACCAGAAATGTAGAATAGAATCTTCTGTACTTAGAGATGGGGCCCTTACACCTGAAGATGCTCATTCAGCTAGTTTGGGATAGACCCTGCTCTGTGAATTTTGCAAAATCTCTCCTTGTGCCTGGCATTCTCCTGGGTACCTGTTCAGAATCACCACTGGTTCTCTAGCTCCTTGGGCCTAACCATGTTGGGCCACATAAAGACCATCATGCATTTGCTGTGGCATTTCGTTGATTTCCACATACTTATTAAGCCTCTATTATTTGCTAAGCTGCATGCTAGGCTTTGTGGGGTATTGAAAAGTGTATAAAACAAGATTCCTATACTCAAGTAATTGGCAGCCCAGGAAGAGAGACATGTATAAATAGCTGACGAACATAACAATGCTGCTAAGCCACATCACAGTAAAAAAAGTAGTGATGCGGAAGCACAGCCAGCCAAATGTATAGTAATAATAGTAACATGAACAGCATAGCACTACTAATAGCTACCGTGATACAGGGTTTTGTTACTTAAGACGTTCTGCGTCCAGTAACTAGGGGCCTGCTGTAATCGTGTATGCACCAAGCTGACTGCAGAGAGGCTGCTTAGTCTGCTCTGTGGTAGGTGACTGCCATCCAGCTGCAGAAGCATGCTGTGCTGTAATGATTTTTTTTTTCCATAGAATATTTTGGTAAAATGTACATAATACGAAATTTGCCATTTTAACCATTTTAAGTGTATTAAGCACATTAACATTGTTGTTCAGTGACCACCACCTTCCATATTGAGAACATTTTCTCGTCTTCTGAAACTTCCCATTAAGCAATAACTCCTCATTTCTCCTCCTTCCAGCCCCTGGCAACCACGGTTCTACTCCAAAAGAAGACACTTTTGGGACACACATCCAACCAATTGATGTATTGTGTTGGCCTCTTTTCACATGGTTGTGATTTAAAATTTTTACTTTAATTACTTTTTGTATTTTTAATATTACCTATCTCAGAATCTTTTTTTATTGTGATAAAACATATTCAACCTAGAGATTGCCATTTTAAGCATTTTAGAACACACAATTGTGTGGAATTAATTATGTTCACAATGCTGTGTGACCACTGCTTCTATTTCCAAAATTTTTTTGTCATTCTAAACATAAAACTCTTGTACTGTAAAGATTTGTTCTTTTTGTGATGTGGGTTTCTTTTCTACATATAAGTACACTGTCTTTTGGTTCTTGGATAATGGTTTTTTTAGTTATTTATTATGTCCATGTAAGATATTAAAGATACCATATCAGTGTTTGCATGTATTTAATCAGAACATTGCATAATTTGTGCGAGTTGGCCACATGCTAGGTACTGTAGCACAGCTGCGTGTGTGTGTATTTATCATTTTGTGCAGCAGTTAAGGGAAAAATTATCTCCTGTTTTATAGAAAAGGAAACTGGCAATCAGAGAACTTAAGTAACTTGTCCAGGATCACACAGTGGAGTCACATCTGTTTGCCTCCAGTGCCCATGGCCTTGCCTGAACATATATATATGGCTCTGGAGAACTAACTGATACTAATGCAATTCCGCCCTTCATGGCCAATGAGAGTGTTTTCCTTGTTTCAGGGGATCCCAACAAGCCCTCAGGATTCAGAAGTGTTAAAGCTCCTGTCACCAAAGTGGCTGCATCGATTGGAAATGCTCAGAAGTTGCCTATGTGTGACAAATGTGGCACGGGCATTGTGTGAGTATCTGCCCCACAGTCTTTGGTGGTGCTGCAGATTGAGTACACCATTAGTGTGGAAAGTGATGGATATTGCACATCTTGGGTGTGAAGGAGACAAATCCTGCCTGGAAAAATGGAGAGGCCAGATAGGTCCTGTGTCCCAGAGCCAGGTGGTGAAGGTTTTCCTTTGCTGTGGAACCCTTAGGTAATGAACATGTAAAACCAGAAAAAGCAGGGCTGCTCTGCTGAAGTAGGAGGGGCCTCGAGAGTAATGTCTCTGGACCCCAGGAATGAGAAACTCCTTATGATGGAGGCAGTGGGGGCCATGGTCTGCATTTGGTGGGACTCTGGGGAGGAGCTGCAGGCCCCAACACAGGAAGGACAGTGAGGAGCCCCAGTGCCACCTGCAGGTGCTTGTCACTAATGGAGTCTTCCTCCCTTGCTCTTTCAGCGGTGTGTTTGTGAAGCTGCGGGACCGTCACCGCCACCCTGAATGTTACGTGTGCACTGACTGTGGCACCAACCTGAAACAGAAGGGCCATTTCTTTGTGGAGGATAAAATCTACTGTGAAAAACATGCCCGGGAGCGAGTCACACCACCTGAGGGCTATGATGTGGTCACTGTGTTCCCCAAGTGATTCAGCAGATCTGGACTGACCTCTGTTCTTTAACCATGTTGTCTTCCAAATGGTCTAGTTCTCTCCTCTCTTGAGAGTTCTGTGCTTCCCTTGGTTCTGCTCTGCTCATTAAATACCAAGTCCCCCACTTTTGGCAACTGATTCACACTGGCTCTGTGACGGCTGGCTTTTACGATTCATGGAAAATTATTTTCGTTCTAAGTCACCTTGCTAGTATCACTATGTATTTCCTCACCTCAGTTCTTCTCTGCTGCAAATGGACGTCAGGCAGATTTGAACCAAACCAAATTTAGTGAGTCATATGATTTTGTTTTTACTCAATAAATGTACAGACTCTGAAGCAGTGTGTGGTGTCTGTTATCATTTGGCCATGTCTTGTTTCCTACTCAAGCCTGATGAGATTTCTGAGCCTCTCTTGTTTGGGTTTCCCACTTCTCTGAGATTTGTAGGCCTTTTCCCCCAAGTGTGAGAAAATTGGCATCTGAACATGCTTGGTTCTTATATTTCTGTGAAGTGTGCTGCAAGTTATTTCTCTGATGCTAATATACTTAGTTGTGTTTTAATGAAATGATGTTTTCTTTACCTGTGGCTGTTATGGGGCTTATCTAAGGAAGTGAATGCTTCCCAAATAATTCAGGGGTAGCTTGACCAGTTGGCCTTAAAATATTCCCCCCAATAAGTCCCTGTCCAGGCTGGTTGCTGCCATCACAACTGCTCTCCTTTGTGATGGGCAACAAACTCAGGAAAGTGACCACCAGCAGCAGAGAGCTCAGGGAAATGACCAATGTGCCCTCTTCACAGAAGAGACTAGGCACCCTGGCTGCTGGGGGGTCTTGAGTCCAGATCTGAGGTCACCATAGATGATCTCCTGGTGACTAATCTCTATTGGAGTCATTTGATTAAACAGTGGTGCCCCCAACCTCCAGACGCTGAGACTACATGATTTTAAGAGAGGTGGACATGGCACTCCAACCAACCCTCCTTCCTCCAGAAGAGCAAATTATCCATCCTTTTTTTTTTTTTTTTTTTTTTTTAGTTCTTTTAAAACAGTTTTCCTGAGCAGAGTTTTTGCTTTATTTATATTCATTAATAAATAAAGTACTTGAAACTGTAGCTTTGTCTCTGACATATTGTAACACTTTCTAAAGTAGTGTTATTATTTTTTATTTTGTAGAAATCCTATCATTTTACTTTTGATATTTTCTGAGAATTAGTAACTATTGAGAAGACTGCTTATGATTTTTAAGGGGTAGGTTTTATTTTTTTAATTTTTAAAATTAAAAAAAAATTTTTTTTTTTCGTGTCCGGCAACGGATCGCTACCCTCAGTGTCGCACTCGCACCGGACTGGGACTGGCAACGGGATCGCAACCCTCGGCCTCACGCCTGCACCTCGCTCAGCCAGTGAGCGGCAACCCTCGGCCTCACGCCCGCACCTCGCTCAGCCAGTGAGCGGGAACCGGTCTGTATGTGGGATCCGAACCCTCGGTGGGAGTGCCGCCGCGCTCCCAAGCGGCGCACTGTAGCAGTGCGCCACCGGGCCGGCCCAAAATTTTTAAAAATTTTTAAATTTTTTGTCTTTTGTCTTTTTTCGTGTCCGGCAACGGATCGCAACCCTCAGTGTCGCGCCCGTACCGGACCGGGACCGGCAACGGGATCGCAACCCTCGGTGCTGCGCCCACACCTCGCTCAGCCAGTGAGCGGGAACCGGTCTGTATGTGGGATCCGAATCCTCCATGGGAGTGCCACCGCGCTCCCAAGCGGCGCACTGTAGCAGTGCGCCACCGGGCCGGCCCTAAAAATTTTTAATTTTTTAATTTAATTTTGTCAATATACAGTAGTTGATTTTTGTGACCCATTGCTGAAACCTCCCTCCCTCTTCCCGCTCCCCCTTCCCTCCCAACAACCTCCTATCTGTTCTCTTGTTGTATCAACTTGACGGAATTGTAATTGTTGTGTTTTCTTCCCTCCCCCCCAGTTTATTTGTGTATTTATTTATTTATTTTTAGCTCCCACAAATAACTGAGAGCATGTGATTTTTCTCTTTCTGTGCCTGACTTGTTTCACTTAATATAATTCTCTCTAGGTCCATCCATGTTGTTGTAAATGGCAGTATTTCATTCTTTTTTATAGCAGAGTCGTATTCCATTGTGTAGATATACCACATTTCCCATATTCACTCATCTAATGATGGACTTTTGGGCTGGTTCCAACTCTTAGCTATTGTAAATAGTTCTGCAGTGAACACAGCATTTATCATTCACAGTCTTTTGCATATTAGCCATCCTAACTGGGGTGAGATGGTATCTGAGTGAGGTTTTGATTTGCATTTCCCGAATGCTGAGTGATGTTGAGCATTTTTTCATCTGTCTGTTGGCCATTTGTATATCTTCCTTTGAGAAATGCCTATTTAGCAGTTTTCCCCATTTTATAATTGGGTTACTTGCTTTTTTCTTCTAAAGTTGTTTCAGTTCCTAGTATATTCTGGATATTAATCCTTTGTCAGATATATATTTTGCAAATATTTTCTCCCACTCTGTTGGTGTTCTTTTAACTCTGTTAATTAGAAGCTTTTAGTTTGATATAATCCCATTTGTTTATTTTTCCTTTGGTTGCCCGTGCATTTGGGGTCATATTCATGAAGTCTGTGTCCAGTCCTACTTCCTGAAGTGTTTCTCCTATGTTTTCTTTAAGAAGTATTATTGTTTCAGGGTGTATATTTAATTCTTTAATTCATTTTGAGTTGACCTTAGTATATGGTAGAGGTATGGGTCTAGTTTCATTCTCCTGCATATGGATATCCAGTTATCCCAGCACCATTTGCTGAAGAGGCAGTCTTCTCCCCAGTGTATAGGGTTGGTGCCTTTGTCAAAGATCAGGTGGCTTAGGTGTGTGGGTTGATGTGTGGATTCTCTATTCTATTCCATTGATCAGTGTGTCTGTTTTTATGCCAGTACCATGCTGTTTTGGTTATCACAACTTTGTAGTATAGTTGAAAGTCAGGTAGTTTTATGCCTCCAGCTTTATTAATTTTTTTTTTTTTTTTGCTCAGCATTGCTTTGGCTATGCATGGTCTTTTGTTATTCCGTATAAATGTCTGGATAGTTTTTTCCATTTCTGAGAAAAATGTCATTGGAATTTTCATGAGGATTGAATTGAATTTGTATATCACTTTGGGTAGTATGGACATTTTCACAATGTTGATTCTTCCAATCCAAGAGCATGGGATATCTTTCCATCTTCTTGTGTCATCTTTAATTTCTCTCAGCAGTGGTTTGTAGTTCTCATTATAGAGATTTTTCACATCCTTGGTTAACTCAATTCCTGAGTATTTTATTTCTTTGGTGGCTATTGTAAATGGGCAAGCTTTCTTGATTTCTCTTTCTGCATGTTCACTATTGGAGAATAGAAATGCTACGGATTTCTGTGTGTTGATTTTGTGTCCTGCAAGTTTGCTGAAATCAGTTATCAATTCCAAGAGTTTTTTTGTAGAGGTTTTAGGCTGTTCAATATATAGGATCATTTCATCTGTAAAGAGGGACAGTTTGACTTAATCTTTTCCAATCTGGATGCCCTTTATTTCCTTCTCTTCTCAGATTGCTCTGGCTAATACTTCCAACACTGTGTTGAATAGGAGTGGTGAGAGTGGGCATCCTTGTCTAGTTCCTGTTCTTAAAGGAAAAGCTTTCAGCTTTTCCCCATTCAGGATGATATTGGCAGTGGGTTTATCATATATGGCTTCAATGATGTTGAGATACTTTCCATCTATACCTAACTTGTAGAGAGTTTTTGTCATGAACGAGTGTTGAATTTTCTCAAATGCTTTTTCAGCATCTATAGAGATGATCATACGGTCCTTGTGTTTGATTTTATTAATATGGTGTATATCACATTTATTGATTTGTGCATGTTGAACCAACCATGCATCCCTGGGATGAATCCCACTTGATCATGGTGTATAATTTTGCATACGTTTTGCTGTATTCTTTTAGCTAGTATTTTATTGAGGATTTTTGCATCTATATTCATCAAGGATATTGGCCTGATGAATCTACCTGGTTTTGGTATCAGGGTGATGTTTGCTTCATAGAATGATTTTGGGAGAATTCCCTCTGTTTCAATCTTTTGGAATATTTTGTAGAGAATTGGTGTCATTTCCTTATTGAACGTCCGGTAGAATTCTGCTGTGAATACCTCTGGTCCTAGGCTTTTCTTTCTTGGCAGCCTTGTGATAACAGCTTTAATCTCTTTTATTGTTATTGGTCTGTTCAGATTTTCTACATCTTCTTTGCTCAGTTTTGGTAGTTTGTGTGTGTCCAGAAATTTATCCTTTTCCTCCGGATTTTCAAATTTGTTGGCATATAGTTGTTTATAGTAGTCTCTAATGATTCCTTGTATTTCAGAGGTATCAGTTGTAATATCACCTTTTTCATTTCTAATTTTTGTTATTATTGGGTCTTCTCTCTTCCTTTTTTAGTTAGCCATGCTAATGGTTTGTCCATTTTATTTATATTTTCAATAAACCAACTTTTTGATTCGCTCACCTTTTGTGTCATTTTTTGGGTTTCAATTTCATTAAGATCTGCTCTGATCTTAGTGATTTCTTGCCATCTGCTAACTTTGGGTTTGGATTGTTTTTGTTTTTCTTGTTCTTTAAGGTGAAGTAGAAATGTCTGACATGTTGCTCAGTGACAGTATTCCATCTCAGGAATGGGCCTTATATACAGGATGTCTTGCTTCCAATGGAGGACAGATGCCAAGAGCTTTAGATGACCACTATGACTGTAAAACATAATATGTATGACTAGTTCATTTCCTGAAAGAATGAAACAGAATGTCAGCACTACCATCCCTAAGTTCCAGTTATGTTATGTCGCTAAGAACCCCTCTTTCCCCCCCAATATTTGGTTTATGGAAATATTTCCTGCCAAGAGCAATTTAAGATTTAGCCTATTTCTAATGCTTCATGTTTACCATATTTATCTGATTTTTTTCTTTCATGCTTACTGTAAAACGAAAGCAGAATGGAAGTAACATATTTGAATATCTTCAATGTGACCTTCAATCTTCTTTAATTACTAAACTTTCTGACAATTTCCTAAAAGAGGAAAAACTCAGCCAGACTCACTCAGGCTTCAGTCAAGCTCTTCTCTCTGGCTTGGAATGCTCTTCTTCTACTTCTTGATTCAGTTAACATTTAGTAAAGTTCTGTTGTCTTTCAAGATTAAAGTGCCTCCCTCCTCCCAGACAGGGTTCTCTGATTTTCCTTCATGGTTTGGATGCCTCTCTGCTATGCTTCCATACCTGAGGACACCCCCTTGGCATGCATCATCCAGGACAC